CTCCTGTAAGCAGAACGCAACTTTCTAGTTCTGTCTCTGTCTCTTGCACCTTCTTAGAAATGCTTTAAGTAGTTGATAAAAGATTGGTGATAATTTTCCTCATTAAATTGGGAAGCTGAGATTTAAGTAGACTGACTAGTGCTGACAGTCACCCAGGAGAACCACGCTGATTGGTCTCCTCTGAGATAGAGGTCAAAATGATTTAGTTCTTATTACGTGGGTGAAAACATCTCTAAGCTTGTTTACAGTGCTTCTTGATTACTTTGACGAGTCTCCTTGTTAACACATTGGGGAAAATAAACATAATTCAAAGTCACCTTTGAGGAAATGATCTGTCAAAAATAAAAATAAGCTTCAGAAGGAACCAGTGAGGTAATCCGGGGACAAAGAATGGATGGTTGTCATTCAGACTGGGAAGCACCTTCCCGTGCACAGGACAGGTGGGAACACTGGGCTTCATCCTGCAAAGATGACAGCTGTTGTTCCCTGGATGCTACTATGCCACACGTTCTGCAGAACCCTACAAAAAGGCAATACCATAACCCGTTTTGGCTAAAACACACACTGGATGTTAACTGTCCCAGGCCATGTGGGGGTCTCCGAGGCTGAGCTCAGTTCCTCAAGACTGTCCAGTCTGCCTCAAGCTTGTTTCTGTTCCCAGTCTGGTACTGAACCACAAGCAAAGGGAAGGAGGTCTTCCCTCAAACTGGAGCTTTCAGTTCTATATTTATTTTGCAGAGGACTGGGCATGATCTGAATAGAAATGAAAGTGGCAGAAATGTCTAAAGAAAGCACGAGTGCCCTTTGCTCAGGAAGATGAGGAGAGTCTTCCCACGGTGTCTTCCTGCTGTAACAATGCTGCCTTAGACCCTTCTGATTTTTTTTAAACCACAATACAACAAAATTCCTACAGACTTCAAGCATTATAAACAACACCAATTTGTCCCTCGTAGGCCTGGCAGCCAGGAAGTTCAAAATCAAGGTGGGCAGACTTGAGGTTTGCTGAGGGCCAGTTCCCTGGTTCATAGACTGACACCCTCAAGAGGCTTTGCCTCTGGGCCGTCGTTCATAAGAGCAGTAATCCTGGTCATTAGAACTGCACCTTTATAACCACGTTTTAGTGCAAATTGTGTTTATTTGCAGAAAGTTTAGCAGCGCACATTTAAGCTAGCTTAGTGGCCTTTGTCTTTTTTAGCTTGGCAATACTGGCTGATTTAGGACCCAGGACGTTGCCTTGCCAGTGGTGATGGAGCTCGTCCAATCTGTTGTAATTGGTTCTGATAGCTTCCACCAGCTTCACCAGAGCCCTGTGTGAGGGCCACAGAGGTGTATGTCTTCCTTCCTGTGGACCAGGCACCCCAGCCTGGCCTTCCCCTTGATGACGCAGTTGGAACTCCTGCAACACAGGGCAGGCAGGAAGAGCCAGCAGCTCAATGGGATCTGCATCGTGTGAAATCACCACTAGCTGAGCCTTCTTGTTCTTCACCAAGGTAGTGACTGTATTGACCACTCCTCAAGGGACAGGCGTTCTCTTAGTGGGGACGCCCCCTTTGCCAGAAGCTTTCTTTCTTCTCAGCATGGGCCAGTAGGCTTGCTTCTCCTGCTTCGTCTCTGGCCCCTACTTGTGAGCAAGCTAGCACAGTTGGGTGTTGTTTGATGGTCCAGGGCCTGGGAGAACTGGTTAGCTGGAGTTAGAACAAAGCCACTGTAGCCTAATGTGGTTGACAGGGTTATTGGGTGAAGCAAAGACATTTGATGAAGTGAGGCCATTTGATGAAGCAAGTGAGGTGTCTTTGGGGTTGGATGTCCTATGTGATGCTGAACTTCTTAAGCCTTTTCTCAAACGGGATTCACAATCTTTTTCACCTCCCACTTCCTCATGACAGCGGAGACCGGGGTTTCATTCTTTCCCGTGAATTTGGGATGTTCCCAAAGCCAACATCAAACCTATAAGGTATGTTCTTCCCAAACCTCCCCATGATAAAATAATTGTATTTTTCTGGCAACAAGTCAGATAGGCACACAGAACAGTAAAGTTAATTTAAGGTTCTTAAATCAGTATTGCATTTCATAATGACCCTTTCTCAGGAACCCTTAGGGCAGTAAGAAGACAGAAAGAAAGACCACTTAAGAGCCATTCTCCATACAGTTCCAAACAAAGTAAACCTGGAATTACAGAGAAACAGACCGTCCGATCTTATTCACATTTCACTGTCCTTGTCCTGCATTTCAACTCCTTGTTGAGTGTTTCCCTGGTGATTGTGTCGTGACCAAGCAGCACCCATACCATCCCTGTAGCTGTCCTGCTATATCACTTGCTGGCCTTCCTAATATGAAATCATGAGGACTAATTTTTCTATTCTAGACAAGCTATACCACTCCCAAATCTATGTGTGAGTAAAAGAGAGCCAAGTGAGGACTCTGTCATTTGGAAGATTTAGAGTCTCAACTGAATTCAAGTGACCAAACTGATGCTTATTGTAAGTGTGGTAACTTGAACACCCAAGTCAAAGTAAGTCTTGCTGAAATAGCAGCTGTCCCAGAGGTGTCGGGGTCGGAGCTGAACTCTGCATCTGCACAAGTCTATTTTCTGGTCCCCTTTCCCCCCACCCATTGCAGAGGAGCTCTCTCTGTGTGTTCTTCTTCCCTAAGAAGACTATCTGAAATTCCAGCTTTACCTCTTCACACTCCCATTTCCCTATGGAAAAATCCCGGAGAAAGGCTGACTTACACTTGGTCTCATTCCTTTCCTTTCTACCTTTGTCACTTTTCCTGTTGCTGTGACGAAATACCTTGACAAAGCTGTGGAGGCCCAAAAATGTGAGCCTGTTTCCACCTAGTCTGAAGGTCAGAGAGTTTGAGGTTGCTCAGAATTGTTGACAACAACCAGGGCTACACATCCTAATCCAGGATATGGTTACTTGGTTCTTTTGATTTTAAGAAGGTCCATACAGGTAGGTCCACTCCACCCTGACAAATGGTCAGAATATGCAAGCATACTTCTGCTCCTTCTTTTGAAACAGGTTTGACCTTAGGAGTGGATGCCTTCAAGATATTTGGTCTAGGGTGGATTCACTGCCTAAATAACAGAATGCTTGATATCTCAAGTTATCAAAGCAATTAATGTTGGAGTTGTCCTTTCTATCATGTTAAAGTCGTCTTTTATTGCCTCCCCCCCCCCCCCCCGTTTCGTATTGGGTATAAGAGTGTATGGAAAATTAAAAGCAGGCAGTTTCAGTACTCACAGGAACTCCCTCACAATAATGTCCTATGTTTCTGTTTTATTATTTTCACTCACATCTTCATCTTCTTCACTGTTTTATTGATCCCCATACCCCTACCCTGGTAAGTGGTATTTTTGTTAAAGCTGTACCTCCGACACAAAACCATAGAGTTTATGGTTCAAGGCTACAATCCACCATGGCAAGAAATTCCTGATGGGAACTTGAAGCACCTGGTCACATTTGATCCAGAGTCAGGAGGCAGAGAAAAATGAATGTTTATATAATCCAGGTTCTGAGCCTAGGGAATGGTGCTACCCATGATAGGTGCATCTCTTCACCTCAATTAACCTGATTAATATAACCCCCACAGGCATGCACAGGGGCCTGTCTTACAAGTATATCTGCCTCAAGCTGACTTTTGAGATTAACCATCATATTCTTCTCAGATTTATCTCTGTGTCTCAGGGAATGGGAAACCATGCCCTTCCATATGATCATATCTGAAGGATGAGTTGAGGCTCTGTTCTATTGAATGTAACTATTTGCTTCTCTACCTGAAGATGTGCCTACTGGTCAAAAACAACAGAGGTCACCTCAGAAGTGTGCGTGTTTTTGGAGTAAGTCTTACATTGATAGTATTTGCTGAGTGTCTGAAGCTTAACATTGAAGGCTGATGCATTAGCTTTCCATTACTGCAATTAAAAATGGAAATAATCAGGAAAATGGTTTATTTTCTGCTCACAGCCTTGGAAGTTTCAGTCTATGGTCAGTTGATTCCATCACTATAGATCCTGCAAGGCCAGGCTTAGTAGCAAGAAGCACATGGTGAAGCCAGCTGGTGAGTTCCTGGTGGCTAAAGAGTGAAAGACAAGAAGAGATCAGCATCCCCAGTCCCAGAAGGGCACAGCCCCAATAACTAACGCCTCTTAATAAACCACATCTCTCAATAATTTCTATAATTGATGTACAGGAGGTCCAGTCTACTGTGGGCAACGCCATTCCCTGGGCAAGCGGCCCTGGGTTATATAAAGAAACCGATCATGAGCATTCAATGAAGCCATCAAGCAGAGTTCTTGTATAGAAGTTTCTGCTATACTTCTTTCTCTGGGAGTTAAAGATCAAAGGTAATGCTGCATGAAATAGCAAATAGGACTACCTTCAGATTTCTGTCTGCTGGTTTATGCTTTTAGGTTTCTTTCTTGACTTCCCTCAGTGATGAACTATGACCTGGAAGTATAAGACAAAATAAGCCCTTTCATCGGCAAGTTGCTTATCAGAGTGGCTTTGTTTTGTTTTGCTTTTGCTTTAATCACAGTAACAGAAATGAAAGTTGTCCCCACCAAGCATCTGTCACTCAGGAACCTTAAGCCACACCTGGCAGGCAGCTGAATTTCCTGCCCTGTAACATGAGGGGGCCGGCTTGTTGGGGTTTCCGTCCTGCCCGGTACCCCACAGCTGGCAAATCCCAAAGAGAAAATCAATCACATAGAGATCCCCACAGTCGGCAACTCCCAAGGAAAATCACACACAAGACTCCATAAGATTATAAACTGATTGGCCCATTAGGTCAGGCTACTTATTAGCTCTTATAGCTTTTGTTACCCCATTATCCTTATCTATGTCAGCCACATAGTACCTTTCTCAGCTGGGCAGCTTACATCTTGCCTCTTCGGTGGTCTGCGCAGGAGTGGCAGAGGGAGCTTCCTAGAATACTCCCAGTCTCTTTGCTCCACCCCTACTTCCTGTCTGGCTTTCCTGCCTATACTGCCTGCCTGGCCAATCAGTGTTTTATTAAAATATGATTGACAGAATACAGATAATTCTCCCGCACCACTGCCCCAATGCAGAAAGTAACAGGAAGGAGGGATCATTTTGCTGGTGACAAGAAGATCAAGGACCGAGGAAGACTTTGGGATTTGCCATTAAGGTTTGTGAGGCATGAAGTCACACTGTGTGGGTTTTAGGATCAGGGTCTGAACACACACGTGTGTGCTGGGGATGGTGTCGGGGATGAAACCCACACACGTGCAGTTCTTCACACCACATATCACCCAATGGTGACTATGTCATCCATAAACCTGGCAACAAAGAGGAGAGAAATGGAAGCAGTGAGAAGCTGTAGGAGGAAGTGTGAATGCTGGTGTGTGCATCTGAGTTTCAGGAGGTATCTAGGGGAACCAAAGATGTTGGAGAGAGAGTAATGGGCATGAGCTCATGAATGTAAGAAAACATGCATTTTTCAATGCGTGTAAATTTTACGAACATTTTATCAGTAAAATATTTTTTAAGAATTCACTCTCCACAGTGTGCTATTTGTAAATAATTCACATGTATCATTCTTATATGCAATTTATGATTGAAAGGAAGATATGAAAAGACAACCTTTAAAATCATTTAATGTATTTTGAATATCAATTTAACAGTTCACATTGTAGTGATGAGAAGGCAGGCTCTAACTTCAGCCCAGTTGGCATTTGATTTTATGTCACAGTTGTAGAAAATGCTTCGCCAGGATACAAAGGTCCAGCTGGAGGGAAGGCATCATTTATTTTGCTCACCAAATAATGATGCTCGTTTTTCATTCCCATCCATCAGTCCTGCAAACTTCGGTTGATTCACCTAGGAAATTACTGCCTTCCCAATGTCAATCCCTCGTTCCTACAAACAAACCAAAAAGTGTTCTCCATTACATCAACAGGAGGCGTGAGGACCACAGAAATCCTTGGCTAGGGACTTTTTCTTCCCGAGTGATAACTTTCATAGCAACATCCACTTATCTCATGATCAATGAAGATTTTCTAAGCCCTACAAAGTTCAACTGCCTAGTTTTACCACTGTATCAATATGGCCATTATTACAAGTAAAAGCATACATTGTTTGGGGAAGCATCATGAAATTGTGGACATTTTCTAATATCAGTTTTAGAAATGATATCTCTGTGGCATAAATATAACTCAGAGCACAATAACGTCTTAACTAGCTAGTGTTTGTAGTGCTCAAAGGGGCTCTGCATGATACCAGAAGAGAAAAGTAATCATCGGTGGTATCAGCCGCGAACCTTGCTATGCATCGCAAAGACAAGCTTGCCAAAATATGCATGCCGGTGCTATGGTGTTACCAATGTAATGGCAGGAACAATACTTTACTAAATGAGCATGACAGTAAGCTAACTCCAAATGACTTAGTAGTATCCTCATATGTGATGATGTGAATGAGAATGGCTCCCATAGACTCATATGTTTGAACACTTGGTTCCCTTCTGGTAGAACTCTTTGGGAAGGATTAGGAGGTGTAGCATGGTTGGAGGAGGTGTGTCACTGGGGCTGAAAACTTCACACCATTTCCAGTTAGTTCTCTCTGCCTAGCTGTTATGTCTCAAGATTTTAGCTCGTTGTTACTGCTTTAGTTTCCATGCCTGCCTGCAGTCTGCTGGGCTCCCTGTCCTTTCATGTGTATATGTGAGCACCTGCAAGCATATCTGGTGCTGCTTGGGCCTGGAACCTGCGGAGGCCAGAAGAAGGTGTCAGACTACCTGGAAATGGAGTTACAGATAGTTGTGAGCTCCCATGTAGGTGCTGAGAATTGAACCCAGACCCTCTGAAAGAGTAGCCAGTGCTCTTAACCACTGAGCCATCTTTCCAGCACTCCTATTCTCCCTGTCATGATGGTCATCAACTCTAACCCTCTGAAACTGAAACCCTAAATCAAATGCTTTCTATTATAAGCTGCCTTGGTCATCTCAGTCGTGGTGTCTTATCACAGCAATAGAAAAATAACCAAGACACTACACACACACACACACACACACACACACACACACACACACGCACACACTAATTCTCAAATCTCATCAGAGAAGCCTCCACCCAAGTAAATGTTGATCAAAGCAGAGACCCACAGCTGGTCAATGTGCAGAAAAAACTGGACACACTTAGCCCTAAATGGAACACACAGACACACAGAGAGAGAGAAAGACACACACACACACACACACACACACACACACACACACACAAACAGAGACACACACAGACAGAGAGACACATACACGCATACACAATATTTCCTCCTCCAAAGACTTTGGGATCGTTGCAGAAGAAGGAGTGGGGAGATTGTCAGAGCCAGAGGAGGGAGATGACCGTAAGGAAGCGGCATTTTCGGGACACATCATTGCGGAGGCACATATGAACTCACAGCGATTGTGACAGCAGGCACAAGTCCTCTGAGTGGTGAAGCCAGACAAAATCTCAGCATGGGGTGCGGAGGTGGTGATGAATTCTCACCTCTTGCTTAGGAGCGCTCCGGCAACTGATGACTACTGGGAGAAGGAGGGTCCGTTGGTTTCCTTTTAAAGACTGTGGCCGTTAGGTTGAAAATGGACTCCTGAAAGTTGCCCTGTAACCTGCTCATCTTGACGCTTTCATCTTTGTCTAACGCTTGTGTCATTCAGAAATGGACCGTGACTCAGCTGATTGTCCCAGAATAGTCTGTCAGCTTCCAATCAGCTCTGGCAATGTGAAGTCATTTCCCCCTTCCTGCGCCTAATAGACAGCGATTTAGGCAAAGATAAAGAATCTTTGCACTTCCAGGAAGGAGGGAAGGTCAGGAGACTGAGAAGGGGGACCAGATGGTGCTATGGTTGGCAGGATTTCATGCCACTCAGGAAATCAAGCAACATGAGCAAGGGAAAAAGCAACCTGCGAATGGATTTCTTTGTAATAACATGCCCAAAGAGTAAGACAAGGAACATTAGGCCCCCTATGGGGAATGAGGACAGATTTGACTTGGTGCCATAGTGGTCTCTGAATCACTGGCAAGTGTGCAAGGTTCCTTTCTGAGTACCCAGCCTCCCTTGTTGTTAGCAGCATAGCTAATATTCTTAGAGCCGTTTGCTCTTTACAGAGAGCTTTACTTGTTGGTGGCACCTTCCTTATAGGAGTCCCGGGGCTTTGAGCAGATCTCATCTCAGTAATGCATTTGCTTAACTCATTCCCAGTAAACAGTGTCAAATCCTTCATGGAAGACAGGGTCAAACCGAAAAAGAAATTATTCAAACAAAGGCAAAAATTACTGACAGTGTTGAATGTGTGACCTTTCCAGAGGCATTTGTAATTTTTCTAGAAATCAGGTCCTAAGTCAAACAGATGAATCTCAACTCCTCTGTGTCAGGCAGCGGGAGAGGGTTGTCTGGGCATGGGACTTGAAAATGTCCTTTTGTGATATTCTCGAAATAGCTTTTGTGTACAGGAAGTCATTTTGCTAGTTGGCAAGGTATTCCTTTCTCTCTCTAGGTTTGCAGCAGACGTTTCTTACGCTGGCTAAAATTCTTTAGTCTACATTTTAAAATTATTCAAAAATTTAGATTCTCAGGACGTCAGCAGTTGGGGGGAATCTCATACGTCGTGTGGTTGAGGCCTCTATCGATAAAGAACTAAGTCACAAGGCATTTTGGACCATGCTAAAGTTAAAGCCACAAGACTCTCATGTTTTAGGAATCAGAGAAGTTGGCACTACAACAACAAAGCATCAAGCTGACTGAGAAAGTCTACTTAAAGGTATTATAACTGAGACCTATACCAAGGGCCCTGTGTGGCTTTATGGTATGAATATAGCTGAACCACATAGGCGCGGTTGTAGATAGTACCGTATCCGTCGGTGCTGCTCATGATGCTTGTCTGCCATAATGTGATCATTACCTTTTGTTCCTACATCAATCATTAATTCTTGACTTTAATCTTTTATATCCAGTATAAATATAGTATATTCATATTCAGTAATCAAGAAATTAGTATATAGCTGAATTCTGGAAAACTCATCAGATTTTATTTATTTATTTATTTATTTATTTATTTATTTTTACAGATTTTTTCCTGTATTATAAAATATTTCTCTCCTTGCACCACAGCATTGTAGAGCTATTGGTCCCTGTATTAGTTTAATACATCATAGATTTCTTTCTTTTCTTTTCTCTCTCTCTCTCTCTCTCTTTCTTTTTCTCTTTCTTTCTTTTTTCTTTGATCCAGACCTCCCCATTGCAGTTCGAGCCTCAAACTTGCTGTGTAGCTCATGTTAGCTTTGAACTCACCATCTTCCTGCCAGAGCTTCCCAACAAGCAGGGTTACAGGTAGTGTGTCACCAGGCCAGATTCTTGAGGTTATCTTTTGAATTATTTCTGTCTAGCCATAGTATGCCATCTGATGATACAAACACAGTGATGTATACTACCAATTTCTCAGCAAGACAAGAGTGAGAGCCATGTGTTCTGAGTGCTACCTAAGTCTCTGTCAGCAACAGCACAGAGTGTCACGTGACAAGTCCAGAAGTCCTTGGTGGTTCCAAACCAACACTTGTCCCCTGTCCTTCAAACCCAGGGGCCATTGGATGGCATGACTTCTTTGGAACAAACCTAATTGTTCAGGAAGAGAGAACTGGCCATTCTTTCAACTCTTTCCCCAGGTCTCATGAGATCACCGGATGTGCTATCAGGTAATGGGTTGGTCTCTAAGAGTTTGATTTTCCACTCAGCTCCACAGTTTCCTTTGCTTGGCCTTACAAGGAAGGAAAATTCCAAGTAAATGATAAAGTCATTAAAATCTTGATTATCTATTTGTTTTATGCTTTCTTCAGTTTTTCCATTTTTTATTTAAAACCCAGGAGTTCGTTTTAAAGGGTAAAGGTTACAACCAAGGTTAAAATCAAAAAATAGATTCTGAAAGAAGGTTCCTATGCCTCAGACAGAATGTTCTTTCTAAGATAGGCAGCACCTTGTCTTGGTAATGGACGTCTGACGCTAGAACATTTAAAATTCAAACAATTTCTTGGTTTCGTCTATCCTGAGTCATCTGGGAAAAGCTGAAAAAAATACAACAACATAAAACAAGAAAACAATACGAAAGAAAACCCAGTCAATTGTTTGGGTAACGTGGCCACATCATAACTAATATAACTGTTTGTAAATATCTTGTGATAGTCCAACAGTTTTTTTTAAGACAGCCATCTTTAGAGTCATTTACTCTGAAATTCAAACTTGTATTAACATCAAGGAAGAAGTTGTCTCCACAGGAATATGATTGGAAATTTCAGCTATGAGCTTTGATGATTACTAGCTTAATGAATGACCTGAGTTTAGTTGGATGTGAGTTCGCACAGCTAAAACAAGCAAAAATCAGTTGAAAGAAAAATAGCATGTGAAGGAAAGGAGGTAGCAATCCAGATGCAAGTTGCAATCAGAAGCCAGCATCCTTAAAGCATAATGAGGTGCGTTTTGCATATAAACGCTCACCGAGACCATCATTTTAAAGTTTTCAGTATGATGGCAGAGTCTCGGCAATGATAAGTCCAGGGTTCTACTGATTACTCACAGGAAGAAATATGTACGTAGAACTTGCAGTTGCAAGGATTCGTATTTTTTTTTCTGGGTAGAATTCTGCAAAGAAATCTCCAGGGCCCAAGAAACCTAGTGGAGCAGGGGCCACGCCACATGTGATTGGTCTGTTTGCAGCACTGCTCTCAGGAAGCCTCTTCCATCTGCAACGTGGCCTTCATTTCCTTTGCTTTCTACGTGTTTGCACAAGCATTAACCACTTCTATGAGTTTAGTAATTGTTTGAGTGGTGAATATAATTTGATGCTTGTCTTAGGCTTAATTGTCATCTTGACATTAGCTTAGAGTCGTCTGAGGAGGAAAAGCCTTAATTACGGAGTTGCCTAGATTAGGTTGGTCTGAGGGCATGTCTGTGAGGAATTTCCTTGAGTATTGATCGATGTAGGAGGGCCCAGGTCACTGTGGGCAGCATCGTACCTAGGTTGTCTTAGGCTACACACAAAGGCTAGCTAAGCGTGGGCCAAGGTGTGAGCCAGAGAGCGAGCCATTTATTTCCATGAAGGAAAGCCAGCAGCGTTTCTCCATTACTCTGCTTTCAACCTGCTGCCTTGAGCTCCTGCCCTGACTTCCCTCCCCAACGAATTGTCACCATGTCATCTCACTGACATGTCGTGTGAAATGTAGCATGAACGCAACCCTTTCTTCTCCTAAGTTACCATCGGTTATGGCATCGAGCATGGTAACTGAAAGCAAGGAGGACAATGCTAGTGACTACAGCAGCCTGGGCCAGCCTCATTGAAGTTCACTGTTGTCCCTGACCACCCAGTGATCCTACCAGATACCTCCGCCTTGTCTCTGTTTCCTTTCACCAAAACTACCATGATCATTTGAACTGTCCCAGTTTTGAACAGTTTGTCTGTTTGCAGTTCATTCCTTCACAGAGTGCAAACACGGTAAGATTTGTGCCTTGACTGCCCAGGTTGTGGCTGCGTCCTTTGTCTAGGACGGTCCAGCGTATGAAAGACACCTCATAGACGTGTCAGTGAAATATCTGAAACTTGAAGGCACATCTCTCCTTTTCTTCTGAAATGGAACTCAGTTCGAAGTCACCACACAAGGCAGGCACAGGTAGAAAATCATAGAGACAAACAGAGAAACTGGATACAAGCAGGAAAAAGCAAAATCCTGGACTGAACCAAACCTGCAGAGCCAGAGAGTGGAAAGGAGGTGGAACAAAGCTCCAATGATTTTACAGGTAAATGCTCAAGAGCAAAACAAAAGGTATTAAAGGCAGGAATAAATTGGAGGGAAACCGAAAGAGGCAGACATAGGTTCAAACGCTTTAAACTGTGGGCTCAGTAGAGGTCGAGGAGGGCAGAGGACCCGGACTTCCTGGCCCCACAAACCAGCCCAGGCACTGGAAACATTTAGCTCAGATTAAAACCCAGGTTTTTCCATTTCTCCCACGTGACCACAGTGAGGCACAGAGTCCAAGCTTCGCTCTCCTCGGTCCATGTCTCAGACCAGGCCACTGTCGCCAGATACATTAGACCAGGCTAGTCATAAACAACAGAAACTTGTCACTTCTGGGCCTGGAGACTAGCGAGTACAAGACCAAGGTGTTTTCAGATCTGCTGTCTGGTGCGAGCCCTGTTCTGCTCCGTAGATGGGGCACTGCCTGCTGCGTTTTCACATGGGGTATCTCTAAGGCCTCTTTCTGAAGGACACTAATTCCATTCTTGGCGGCAGAGCTCCAGCGGTTTGTTCATGGCCTAGAGACCATCTCTTAACACTATCAAAAAATTACTTTAAACTTGAAAAGAATCTATTTATTGCTTGTTTATTTATTCTGTGTGTTTGTGTACATGCATGCCACAGTGTGAGCAGGGAGAGGAGAGCCTACGCTGGTTGTTCCTTTCCTTCTACCCTGCAGGTTTGGGGGACGCAACTCAGACCACCAGGCTCAGCACCATCCACTCTTTCCTGTGTAAGGATTAGATTTTGGCAAGCATCGGAGGGGCACAGTCAGGCCACAGAGGCTGAAAGTATAGATAATTCTGTTCTAGGGCTTCAAGGTGATTGACATGTAAGGATCCTACAC